TTTCGTAATGTGGGGTCTACAATAGAAGTCGTAGCGATCGTAGGGTCTTAAATCGTAGAAAATTAACCAATCACAGTCGAATACGAGAAGAATTATCGACTCTGATTGGTCAGTTTTCTACGGTTTAAGATCCTATGACCGCTACGACTTCTATTATAAACCCCGCATAAGGATGAAATTCTACGTTTTACCTCTTAAGCTGGTTCTACATTAGTCGCATCGCAACGTCGCAAGCGTTGCAGTCCAATCAATGTCAAACTAGCTCGACTCTGATTGGACCATAACCTCGGATCTACAATAGGTATTTTAAGCCTTAAGCCGTAAGAAATTGATCAATTACAGTCGAATCCGAGGAGAATAATCGACTGTGATTCGTCCATTTCTTAAGGGCGCCGTCACATGCGACGTAACCTGCGTAAGCGTAACCTGCGTATTCTAATAATTTACTAGAATACGTTATTTTTTATTTACTAGAAAATGCCATTCTGAAAGCCGGCATTCACATTGGGCGTATTTCGCGGAAGATTAGAGAAATGCGAAACTAATGCAACCAATTGCTGATTAAAATTTCTGTTGTAAACTTTAACAGAAATGCTAAACGAATTTACACGATTGGTTTTCGTAACCTACGCAACTCGACAAGTACGCTTCATGGGGAACCGGTACTTTCTATCGCGTACATACAATACGCGTTTGTATAATACAAATTTAGAAGAAGAAAGTCTGATTTATAATGGCCGTAACCGTTAACTTACGCCGGTGCCGATAAAGTTCAACCATAGGATTTCAATGATTTCGTTTATACTGATTGCTTTCCAGCAAGAACATAGTCAGACACAGTGAATCGTTTTATCCTTGTTTGCCAACGTTAAACAAGGATGAAACGACTCACTGTGTCCTTGCTGGAAAGCAAGGATTAACTTGCCGTATTAGTATGAACGAAAGCATTGAAATCCTATGGTTGAACTTTATCGGCACCGGCGTAAGTTAACGGTTACGGCCATTATAAATCAGACTTTCTTCTTCTAAATTTGTACAAACGCGTATTGTATGTACGCGATAGAAAGTACCGATTCCCCATGAGGCGTACTTTTCGAGTTGCGTAGGTTACGAAAACCAATCGTAAATTCGTTTAGCATTTCTGTTAGAGTGTACAACAAAAATTCTAATCAGTAATTGGTTGCGTTAGTTCCGCATTTCTCTAATCTTCCGCGAAATACGCCCAATGTGAATGCTGGCTTTCAGAATAGCGTATTCTAGTAAATAAAAAATAACGTGTTCTAGTAAATTACTAGAATACGCGGGTTACGCTTACGCAGGTTATGCCGCATGTGACAGCGCCCTGACTGAAGTTTATATATGTACACAACCTCTCTCTTTCTCTCTTTCGCGTCGCATCGTGACGCGCATGTGGAAACTTACCATTAGGGTGAAGTCCCATCAGGCATGTTTGCCGCGTATCGCGTAAGCGCATAACCAATCAATAATCAGTAAAACGCGAAACTATAACAGCAGATCGCTTCTGATTGGTTACGCGGTTATGCGATACGCGATAAATACACCGCATGGGACTCCATCCTAAGATATACAGTGCATATGTACAGTTCGCGCAATTACCCCGGATCTACAATAGGTGTTTTAAGCCTTAAGCCGTAAGAAATTGACCAATTATAGTCGAATTCAAGGAGAATAATCGACTATGATTCGTCCATTTCTTATGGCTTAAAGCGGAACGCAGTCTATATGTCTTTGGTTGCCAACAATGCCAACCATTAAGCAGCCATTTTTAATACACAGAAATCAATTCATGATTGGCTGCTAAGCATGTGATTGCAATGACCAATCAGAACACTTAACACCAGTCTGGCTTCTCTTATAAATGTAGGACTCTATTAATGACGAGTGTACTCAGAGGCTATGTTCTAAAATTCACTACCAGCGTTAAAAATCTATAGTTTACGTTACGTGTATTATGACCGCGGTCCGATTCATGCTCGTAATGCTTAAAAATCACTGTACTATACTACTGGAAAGCGCTCTGAGGCCATTCGCCTGAACCGACAGAGAGAGTAAATGTGAGCCCCTTTGTCCTTGTCGGTACAGTCTGAGTCAAGAGTGCTTTCCATGCGTCTGCGCATGTGCAGTTCCAAATCTGGAGACACTGGTAGTGTCTCGGCGCTAAGCTGCGCAGAGCGTTGTTTGATACTTTACAGAGGATAAAATAAATATGTTTATTGTTGTTTCTATGTTTATCACTAATTAATAGTGTAGTATACATAATTATTTTAAAAGAACTGCAGTTGAAAAAATTTGCAGATAATTTTTTCCTCGTTATAAAACTGAAATTAAAAATTATATAACATTTATATGTCTAGATATGAGCGTATATTTTTTTATTTTGTTATTAATCATGAAAAAAACATATTTTTGTAATTGGCAGTTTATTCAAATTACAATTATTTTTCGTGAAAAATTATATTTGCATAAATCTGATGATCTACTTGAACATGCTGAGGTTGTACTCTGTGTTTGTGATCTGTAAATAAAAAATAAATTAGTTATTGTAAACATTTTCAAAATAAGTATGCAATTATTTTCAAAATTTCATAGCAGTAAGTATAAAACCATTTTGGTTACATACCAGTGAAGAATATAACACAAAAAGTAAAGTCATTCATAAAAAAAGTTAAAGGAAAAAAGTAATACAGTAACATTTTAATATACATATATATTTGTATAAAAGCAATTATATAAAAAGATACAAGCAGAAATGAAAATAGAATTATAAATGTTATAACATGCATAAAATTGCACTTTAGTAACAATCAGCATAAAAATAAGAATGGAGCGTTAAACATCTTG